TTATACAGTCCAAGAGTCAGGGATGGTATGAATCTGGCTGAGTCGGTTTGAAGTTTGGGTTGTCTGCAATGTCAGTTGGTGATAGTTCGAACCCAAGTGGGGGAGAACTGGGCATGCTACTTGAAAGATCATCGATATGTTGAGTTCACAGTTTTAGAAGAATGGGTTATAGGGATTTTCAGTTCGGATATACGAGGCTTTGGTTCAAGATGTGGTCAAGGCGAGGTAAAAAAGCAAGTTAACATTTGTTGTATGTACCAAGGAATGCACGGTTTGTCTTCACAGTAAGAACTTGTTGGCCAGGGAGCTCGTTGTATACCCTCTCCTGAATCATCCCGAATCGTTTCCCATTTGGGTGTGGGTGACGTAATTTAGATGATTCGGGTGTTCGGTTTGTGTTTTAGAGCCAAGGGGTATTCGGTAAAGTGTCAGCTCGAGCTTTTATGGAAATTGGATTTTTTTTCGGGAAATATTAAGGCATGTATGAGTTGATAAAATCATAGAGCTTCTCGTTATTTTTTCATGGATATATGTATCGTCGAAATCAGATTTATAATGAAGAAGTTATGGCCTTCGAAGTATTTTAGGGTTTAAGGGAAACCCTGTACGCGGGGCGTACACTGGTGTACGCTAAGCGTACCAAGAAAGAAGGATCGTGAAAGCTCGGCCTTGTGCGGTGGGCGTACGAGGAGTATAATGGGCGTACGAGGAGTGAGGGAAAACCTAATTTAAGTGTGTTTTACCCAATTTAAGGACCTTAAGTCTTTAGGGTTGGCCTCTTTACCAGTCCCCAAACCTCCTAAAACCCTAAATCAATCCTTAAGCCTTCTTTGTGGTGTTTTGAGCTCTTGAGAAGATTATGGTGTCATTTTTTCCCATTATGAAAGAAGTAAAGAAGTTTGTGTGTGCTTTGCTTGTAAGGAGCCTTTAGATCCATAATCATCACCCTTGTTGCAAGACTTTGGAGGTATCAGGTTCATACCTTGGCTTGTAGATGTTTAGATCTCTTTATGGCTTATTTTTTATGTTTTTGGACCCTTTTTGGGTTAGGTGTTGAGTTAAGACGTTTGAAGGACTTATTCTTTTAGATCTGAGCTTATTGGGAGTTCCTTAAGCATAAAGGTTCCAATTTTATGGGGTATTAGGTCTCCTGCATGGATTAAGTCACATACTAAGTCCTTTTTAAGCTTAAGAGCTTCATTTAGCCATGCATGAATGTAAAGTTAGCAACTTTACGTGATAAATCAGTACAAGGAAGTTAGATCTAGGTTGTGGAGTAAAGTCTTTATGGAATAAGAGCGTAATATGGAAGTTGGCTGTATGCGAGGGTATATTGGGCGTACAAGCAGGTACACTTAGCGTACAAGCCCTAAGGCAAGTACATTGCACGTACGAGCTGAGTACGCCCCGTGTACTTAGCAGAGTGGGCCTCAGATCTGTTGGTCTTCGATTTGTTCCATAGTTTGGGCTTGGATGTTTAGGGTCTTGTTGGGCCATCAGAATTTAAATGTTTTGGGCTAAGAATGTTTTTGAACCTTGGATTAAGGCCCATGGAAGGGTTTGGGCCCAATTTGGAAAATTGGGCCATGTTTGGGCCTTGTATGAGTATTTGGTATTTGGGCCTTCTGGAATATTAGGTTTGGGCTTAAGTCTTGGTCCAAACTGGGTAAGGGGTAAATTGGTCATTTACCCTAAGTATGGTCTGATGGTTATGGATTAGAATCCAATTGTTAATTGGATGTTATTTGATATTATTAGCTCAGGGATTTGTCGGACCTGCAACCAGGGAGTTATCGGTGTGGTTCAACAGTGCGAGGTGAGTTTTCTCACTATATCCATAGGTCGAAGGCAGCAATGTCTGCCTATTACTTGTTATGTGGAATGATAGTTGTCTTTGTGATATTTGTATGAAAGACCATGGGGGTAGCCCATGACACTTGGATGTCATACCATATGGGTAGCCCATGACATTTCAAGGAAAGACCATGGGGGTAGCCCATGGCAAATGTATGTATGGTATATGGTATTTTGGGGAACTTACTAAGCTTTGTGCTTACGGTATTCAGTTTATGTTTCAGGTACTTCTGTTTTTAAAAGGAAGAGCTCGGGAGGATTGCAGAGCCCATACCACCTCGTTCCGCATTTTCTTAGCTTACTCTGATACGATGTAATGATTGACATATTTGTTTTATCTGGGTTCTTATGATGATGTTTTGGAATACTGGTTTTTTTAATTAAAAAATGAACTTTTTGGGTCTTATTTTTGGGACGTTACAGTTGAATGTTCCCGTTTATCGTCAATGGGTGGGGATGCTTCGAAGGTTTTGAGTTGTATAATTGAAGGTCAATGATCATGACAACCTATCGTCATGTTCTGTTTATGGTATATCATGGCTTCTGGGTATGTTGCCCTGAATTATTGGATTGTGAAATTATGGCTTCTGGGTATGTTGCCCTGAATTTCCGGAGTGTCTAAGGTCATAAAAATGCAATCTTGGTCATTAATTTTCTTCCACGCATGGGTTATAATGTCTTAATGAGTTAAGAAGTTAGGGTTTTTTTAGTATTGAGCACTTCCTAGCCATGCAAAGTCATAAATTTGGAAAGTTTATGACTTAAGACGTTATTTTGGGACTAGATATGGATCTTGGTTAACATTAATACGCTAGGTGTACCCTAGAGTATGATGCATGTACGTGGTCAACAACTTGTTTTTTGTCAAGCCTCTAGTACGCCGTGCGTACAAGCTGAGTACGTTGGGCGTACTCAGCTGAGTCGACTGGGTTGACTTCTTTGACTTTTGACTTTGATAAGGATTTGACCAAATTTTATCTAAGGGTATTTTGGGTATTTTGGAGTTGTAGTTGAGATTGGTCACTATTTGATGTATATGCGACTTGTAGAGCTGATATTTGGAGCAGTGTCATGTTCAACCATCTTTCCGGATTGAGAGTTGAGGTTTCTTCACTGTACTCGTGGATCGAAGACACCAATTCCGGCCCACTGAATTATGTATCCTCGTTTTAAGGATGTTGCTATGTTGTATTCGTCTGTTAGAACTGAGTCCTGGTATATAGGATATTATTATGTGATAGTGATCTGTAGATCTGACTGTTAGTCTGTTGACTGTTTATATGATTATCTGTTTACTGGATATATGCTATGTGATATGTATATGTTGACATAGTTTGGTTGGGTTGAGGCAATACTGCTTTGTGCGGAAGCCAACAAACCGAGGAGCAAGCCAGACATAAGTTGTGGGTCCGAGAGGCAAGACAGACTTATGTTGTGGACTCAAGAGTAAACCAGACATGGGATGTGGGTTGGAAGGCAAGCCAGAGTCATGTTGTGGACTTAAGGGTAATCCAGTCTATTAGTTGTGAACCAAGTATGCGTGTTGTTATATGTTTGTGTGGTGGTACTTTGGGGGAAACTCACTGAGATTTGGCTTATGGTTTTCAGTTTCATGTTTCAGGTACTTTAGATGATCGTGACAATGTGAATGCATGATCGTATAAATCCTTCTACGACATGTTATTGGAGATTTATGGTACACTGATCTTGAGATATTTGTACTTTATATTTAATTTTGTTATGGATTTTGTTTGAAAACAATGGTTTCTTCTGATTTAAAATCGAAAATTTTTATTGTGATTTTGGCATGTTACATAATATAAATAAATAAAATTTACTAGAATATGTAGAAAACAATTATCTACAAAATGATATCACTATTGATATATTTTTCTGATATACTTTTATATTTTTTTATATAAAATATTGGATTCGGTTTGGTTCGATAAAGTTGCTAATAGGTATAAAAATTTGAGGTTAGTTGGTTGTACATGTAAAAGAGAGAGAAATTAATTTTTTAATAAATAGTTGAGTTGGGTTTTGTTGTGAATTACATAGTCTTAATTCAAACGGGTCATTTGAACATAATATAAAAAAAATAGAATTTTCAATTTTCAATATAATTAATTTTTAATAAAATGTTTCGATTTTAAATGTATTTGTTAAAGATTTTATTTAGTAAATTAATATTATTTTTATTTTTGTTTAAAAATGAAAATAAAAAATAAGAGGAGAGAAATAAACCATTTCCAATATAGATTGTGCGGTGAGAGGAGAGTTAAGTAAATAATCTCGTGACAAGGTAACAAACAAAAAAGGCAAAATACAAAAGAAACACAACTATTTATCTATCAACACAAATAATTCTTATATATTATTTATATGTAAAAAAAACTCTTATATTTTTCAGTTATCTTTGCATTAACCAAAATATTCAGTTTTTTAAAGAAATTACTTGTTTTGTGACATGACATTTATCTTTTTCGTTTTTAGATTAACATGAAAACAAAAATAAGTAGTGTCGTCTCTTGTCTAAGATAGAATGTGAGAAACAAATCATTTATCAACGGACATTTACTCAAGCAAAAATAAGTGACAACGTTCATTTTTTTTCCATGTTAATCTAAAAACGAACAAGATAAATGTTATGTCACAAACAACTGATAACTTCTTTAAAAAACGGATATTTAGATAAATTTGAAAGTTAACTTAAAATGTAAGGTTTTTCTATATATAAACAAAATATAAACGTTTTTGTGAATGTTGATAGATAAATAATTGTGTTTTTTTATATTTTGTCCAATAAAAAATATAGAAAATATGGTATCACACGTCGTGACCGTAAGGGAGTCAATTGCATTATATAACATGTTAAATTGGTTTGAATAAAAAAAAAGTATTGGAATCGGTTGCATTATGTAACATGTTAATTGAATCATCGCGTCTAATTCCTTGGTAGAAAAGAAAAGTATTAGTCTGTGGCTTTTTTTCAAGAATATCAAACAAAATATAACCCATAAACACTCACCCCAAGCAAACTCCCTGGAATTTCTTCATCTACAAGCAAACTCAACCCTCATTTCAAGTTAATTTTCAACAAACCCATACATACATATAACACTTTAATTCCTTTCTTGGTATATATGGTTTATTGTTTAAAAAAAAATAGTTTATTTGTCGAAATCAAGAGCCTCGAGTGATCAATAAAGTTAGGATGAAACTCAGGGGTGGTGGAACTAACAATCTAAACCGGCCAAGAAGAGTGATCACCGGGCGCGTTTATGAAAAGTTCAAGCCTATCTTTGAATGGAGACAAGAAGATGATCATGATAATCTTCTCGTTTATCTTCTTGGTAAATTTTCTTGTTTACATGAAAGTAAAACAAATTATTCAACTCATATGTGTGATATCCATACATCTTGTCTCAACGTTTTTACAAGTTGCTCAAAAATGTATTTTAATTTGTTTATAACCTCCAAAATCAGTTTATCAAAAAAAAAGGTTAAAAGTTGGCATATTAAATATGAATATGTAATCATTTTTAATATACTATTGATGTACATATCTTTTCTGTAAAGAAAAAAAAAAAGGGATGTGGGTCTACCCAATCTCATCCACTACCGACGTCGGCCGACCCGACCATTTTGTCCCTAATAATTCTAAGTGAGATGCAATATTAATTTATATTTTACTGGTAATAATCAAATTCAAAGATATAAATATTCTTAATAAAAAATTGATCAAAAAAGTTTAATATATATTTTTTCAAATTCAAGAGCTTTTTGGTTTGAAAAAACAATTAAAAAACCTGTATTGTAGATGTTCTTATTTATTACCCAAGATAAACTGTAAAATCATTCAACCATCCAACTATTTTTCGTGTATAATTTCATATTTGATTGCTTGCATTTGTGTTGTAGGATTCCGAAAGGAGTTTATAAAGGTTACAACTGAAAATCCAAACATCCTTAGAATTCGTGGGGAGTGTCTTGTATCCGGAAACAAATGGAATCGTTTTCAGGAAGATTTTACAGTTCCTGAAACATGCGAAAAGAGCAAAATCCGCGCCAAATTCGATGGCGGAATCCTCAGCATTACCATGCCTAAGAAGATGACGAATGCACCCACCACCACTTTCCCACAACAACCATCGTTTGTGAGTAGTGACAATACAAATCCAAACAATCAAGGAAAAGTTGAACATAAGCAATCACACCGAATCAAAGAAAATGAACCATCAATTGAGAAGATCATAAAGACAAAGACAAGTATGGATTCAAAAATGAAGGATAAATTAGAAAGGTGTAAGATGATAGTGAAAAGGTTAGCCATAGGAGGGATGAATGATGGGAGAATGGTGGTAGTGAACATGGTGGCAATGGTATTGTTGGTAGCGGTATCTTGGGGTTTATGTTTCGTACTTCATTGGAACCTCAGATGAAGGGAATCAATTAAGCAACATATTGCCAAGGAATTTGTGTGTGTTTGTCAATTTAATGAGACAAATATTTATGGTTCATGAGTTCAAACACCCAAAAACAAATAAGTATCTGAATACATTTATAAGACAATCTTTTAAAAATACTTTATGATTAATTTAATTTTATAAAGGAAACAAACGCCTAGGTCTTGTTTTCTTACATCTCTTTCATAACATATATAATTGCTACTGGATTGTTAAATTTGTAATCTTGATCATAAGTTCATTTTATTTTACCATAAAAAAGATCACCATCCCAATAGGATCGGATCAATACAGGTGTAATGTGAGACTATTTGAACAAAGAAAATGGATGTCCAATGTGAATATTCATGAACAAAAATGTGAATATTCATGAACAAAGTTAATAAAATCCCATATACTTGTATGAAGAACCCATAGAAAGTTTCTATCACACAAAATTGATCTGGATAACATCTCTAATCAATTGTCTAAATCAAACATAAATGATATAAAAGATCCAAACGATCGTAAAAATAGAAAATGTTGTTTTGTACCGTTAAACAGTTTTGAACGGACGAAAAACTTGCATCATGGCGAAGCGAAAATTATTGTTAATTGGCCCATTGTGCGAATTTCGTCTAATCCTCAAACCAAATAATCAATTCGGTTGATTTGCTAATGATATCATCAAATCTTTTTATTAGCGAAGACATCATCTATAGTTGTATGGGTAGCATCATTTTGTACCCCTGCATCAAGGCGTAATATCGCTACTAGAAATATTTTCAAGCAATCAGAATACATAGCAAAAATAATAAATAATTTTATAAAAACAAATTTCCAAAAGATGGATCCATTTGAATCAATCAAATTAGCCAATAATCTATCATACAAGTTTTCAAGAAATACCTTCTGAACAATTTCTTGATCACTTTAATATAGAAACTTTGTTAAAAGAAAGTTGAACAACCCCATAGGTATCCACACAAAAAATGTCACACCCCGATTGAGGCGGCGGAACATGTCGGGTTCATGGATCACAAACAAATTGAATATACATCATAAGTTACAACAATAACAACACATCAGTTATATTCTACTTTAAGGTTTGAATACATGGTTCATACAAATAATAATAATAAGTTTATGAATTTGCCTTAACAGATAGGCCGATATAACAAAAACCGGAGAAAACTAGATTGCCCGAAATCTGTGACTATCTCTTCTGCTAAAAGCTGGTTCAGTGATTTCCTAAGAATATATACATGTAGTTTGAGAGTCAATACAAATGTTGGTGGGAGTTATAAGTTTTCTGCTAATTGCAGTAATAATACTTTTAAAAAGACCAAAAAAAGTATTTTATTTGTAAGTAATTTCATACTTAAAAGGTTTGATAAAGAGATAAATCATAAGTTTTGGTTATTTATATCCACCAAAATCATGAGAACATGTTCGATCCAATTTGATCATCCATGGCCCCCATGTAGGTCAAATGCGAAAATTTGATTTTTAGGGCATCAGATCTCACTGATTTTTGAACTGCTTCCTGTTTGATGACGATGGTCAACCTTTCGAGTGCTTTGAGGTATCCTGAAGACACTTATGAGTAACATGATCTCATATATACATAAAATCATCGAGGTATTATGTCGTAGGTCCTACTATAGTGTGGTTCGCAGTAAATTGACTGTTTATAGTTTTAGACCTAAGGGATGTCACAAAAAAACATGTGACACCCATTTGGATGCTAATCTTCCAATCAACGAGCAAATCACCTCTTTCGTAATAATCCTTAATGAAAATTGAAAAATCCAAATGTTTTGGAAGCGAGGCCGTCGACTAGGGGACGAATGAGGATACCAAAGATGAGATTAAATCTTTAATCCTACAACAAGTTTGATGATATACTAGTCCAATGACTGATTATCTCCATAATTAATCATGCGGGATAATTAACTTAGCCAACTTTATAATTTAAACAATATTATGAATAGTGGATAAAATTTCAATTTTTTAATAGAAAAACATTTTATTTATTATTGTTTGGATAATAAATACTTAATAAAAAATTTATTTATTTATTTTAATTGATTCATAATAATACTCTTTCACATACAAATATTATTAATTAGATGTCTTATTGTTTTTTATGTAACATCATAGATTCATATATAATTAGAAATATTATTGAAATATTACTTCTTGTACATAAATCCAATAACATCAATGTTCGAAAATTAGAAATTGACGTACAAAGTTTTCCCCGATTGTAGATTCCTCCTCTTGGGGAGATCCTTGTTAAACTAGCAATTCCATTAACCAACTCACTAAACACTGTCAATGCATGTTAAATATATTTGTTTTGTTCAGACGTTGAAAAAACAGGTATCGCAACTTCATGCAGAAGAACTATAAAAGTATTGTCATCGGCATCTCTGGATAACATGTCGGTGGTCTGCATTGTTTGATGTCATAAGATTATAATGAAGACCATAGAAATATGCATTCAAACATTTTTTTGAATTTGCACATTTTGGATATTTCAATTTCTTTGTCATATATCACGTAGCGTTTTAAAATAATTGTCAAAATCATACACTTTGTACGTTTTGGTTGCCTTCTAGAACAACGTTTTTGTCTTCATATTTTCACATACTTAGCTTGTACATTCGATCAAAGATGATTACCACAAATACCATGATGTGAATTCAAGAATATAGTTGCAATGGACACGGCGATCGATGACGCCCTTTCATAAGTTAAGGTTAAATGTTCCGAGTCGCCGATCAATCATGTAGCTTTTTAGGAACCATGCCCACGTATTTATGGACTCCCTCTTGCATATTCCATACACAATAATAAAGTTTTGTTTGTTATCGTCTACTACAATAGCCAATAACATGGTGCCTTTGCATCACCCTTTAGATGAGTCGCGTCTATCATGAGGGCACACCTACAACATTTATGTATCTACAAAACACTCAAAATTAATTAACAAATGATGTGGAAATATACCATATAAACATACAAAAATAAAAACTAAGATTACCGTTAACCAATTAATAGGAGCAATAACTCAAATTGTTTGTGATTATCTATTTGAATTTATGTCACTATTCCAATATTATTCTTACCCAAATTGTAACACTACATAGGGGCTCTAAAAATGATTCATCTTGGGGCCCTAAGAGGTTTAAGTGTATGTTGTTTCGTACGTCATGCTTGTGTGTATGAACTATTTAATTTTTATTTGGTAGTGAAATCCTGATGGATGCTGGTTTTATAGTGGGCTCTGTTATGATCATTACTCAACACATTGACAATTAAATGACTCAACACTTTTTTGTTTGTTTTTGCAATGGTTTGTGTTCAATTATGTTGAAACACAAGTGTGTTCATCCATAGGTTTTCTGACCTGAAACATGCTAATGTTATCCAGTTTTACGAAATAAGCCAAATATAAATTTTGTGGTAACAAGATGCTTGAAACATATTTTTTGTTTGATCTACTGGTTTTTTTACTAAAATCCTTCACGAGCACTATTTGCACACAATTTTGGTTGAAAAGATTATTTGTCTTTGAATGTTTGTAGATTTTTTATCCTCTATGATGAGTTTTGCTTGTGTGATGGAGTTGACGCGTATACCGGGTTTGAAGAGGCGGGTATAACATGCATACCAGTGAATGGTGTTCTTGTGTAATGTGTATTCATCATCCGACCATTCAATTATATATCACCTTTTCTTAAGGTCAGATAGATTATACAAAAATCTAATTGCTCCTCATAAGGAAGTGGATTCATATCATCTCCCAACAAAAATACTTCTCAGTAATATGCATCATCATCTTTAACAACATATGTATCAAGGTATCAACATCATTGTCATTTGTAGGAACAACATTGTAAAATGTAGCAACATCATCATCAACATACTTATAAGTTTATGGATTGACATTAATATCCAAGACTTTGTGCTTGTACCTAATCGTCATACTATAATTATGGTTGTACTTTTGTTTAATATACATCATACCCGAGAGGATATTAATGACCACTTTATGAGATAAAAATACATGATTGGTTGTTGCTACTTCTTTCGCTAGATCGGTTCTTAACAAAGCCTTTTCCATTTTTGCTATTAAAGCCTTTTCCGTTAGATCGATTTGTTGCATTATATTGAACAGTTGGAGCCTCTTCCACCAAAGCATTATCTACTTACCAGATACAAATATACAACTGCTAAAACTTTTTTAATAACATTTTTTCAAGTGTTTCACGTCACTTTTATCAAAACTATCTTTAACAACATATTTCATTGATAGGTGGTGGAAAGACAAATTGATGTTAGATCTATATTCCAAACCTTTCCACACTTTAACCAAATCTAATAATTTATATCTTATGAAATTTCTACACCATAGTTTTTAACAAAATGCCTAATGTAAATACATCCACCATTTTTTAATTTTCATGAACCACCAAAAAAAAAGAATCGGAAAATTTGAAGCCATGTTTTTTTTTTTCCAGAAAAATAATAACACAGAGAAAGTTGTATTGAATTTTTTTAATCAAAAGCACATCTTATAAAATGAGCATTAAATTAACTATACAAATGTTATATTTTTGCAGTTTAGATTTTAGATTTTCACAATAAGGATTTGTGATTTCATAGTAAGAATTACAGAGAAATATAGTTTTCAGATTTTCATGTAGACGGCATATGAGAAAACTTATTTTTTGGCATATGGTGATTCGAAGAAACCTATTTTTCGTTAATGAAATTTTAAGAAAATATGGCATCTGCACAAACTCATTTGTTCGCATATGACATGAGGAAACATATTTTTCCATAGATGTATATCAAAAATTTCACATATGCATCTTCGAAAATTCACTCGCATATATGAAAATCCCTTCCCCCTATATACTAAAATGATTTTTTGGTATGTCACATACGATTTTTGTAGATATGATAGATTTTGGTAGATGCAAATGACTATTTTGGTCAATATGTAGAGATGATAGATTTTGGTAGATGCATATGACTATTTTGGTCAAATCGTTAATTTTTTATTAAATATTGAAAAATAATAAATATATTTTCTTTAATTTTATTCCCCATTCTTAACAGTGTAATTACTAATTCAGAATTCTTGCACTTATTAATTTGTAATCTGCAAGAACCCTAAAAACCCCTTAAAAGAATTCACAAAACTCTCGTAACACAGATTTACTTTTCCCTCACCCAAATTTGGCGTTATTCATTGCCATGAACGCAGCAGCGACTTCTCATGCTCTGCCCAGCGTGAAACTCTCAGAGTTGACAACCTCCAAATTCAACCACAATTCTTCGGTGTAAGTTTTATATACGAATATCCCCATGTACAAGCAGGGATTCCATTCAATTGTGTGTATGCTGTGTAGTTTATGTTATTAGTTTCGCCTGATCAATTATGAAATGGTGTGCTTCCTTTGAAACCTGATTGGTAATGAAACTGAAATCGGATTGGCAAGGAAATTGAATCCTAAGTCTATTGGAGATCCGTGCATTAGAAGCTATATTATAATCTGGTTCTGTAAAATTTGTCGAATCCATAGCGTTTGATTCTCATATAACCTGTATATGCTTCATATCTTACAATTTTAGGTTGTTAGTATTGAAATTATTCTGAAATTTAGTCATGCCTTTGTTAATCTAAGTTAGGCATCACTAACGTGTAAACGAGCTGTGGTTGGATCATTAACTTCCTTGGCATTTCTATTCGGAAAATGTTTTAGCTCTTTTAAAAGTTCACACACTTGATGAAATTGCCTCCTGTTTGTTATAATTAAACTAAAACATCCACCTACTTCCTCTACTTGCAGTGTGTGTTTCCATAGAAAACATCAAGTTTCTTTCTGCAGCCATACATGCAAAGCATCTGGGAACTCCAATTCAACTGTTAGCAACCTCCAGAAATTAAAATTAGATGACCCCATTAAGAACATAGGCTTAGCTGGAAAGAGCTTTTGTTCTGTAGGGGTATGCACACATCCTTTGAGTGAAACTGAATCTGATTCACATGTGGAGGAGGAAAAAGTTGGAGTATTGCTTTTGAATCTTGGAGGCCCAGAGACACTTGTTGATGTTCAACCCTTTCTCTATAACCTGTTTGCAGATCCGGTATGTGTATTTGTACAAATAGTTCCTTTTTGAAACTCTAAAGAAAGATTCAATGCTAATTTAGTTCCAATATTTTTCATCATGCTAACAGTTTTAGTGTTTGGGACAGGATATTATCCGTCTACCAAGGTTGTTTCGTTTCCTACAACGACCTTTAGCACAAATCATTTCTGTATTAAGAGCAAGAAAAAGTAAAGAAGCATATGCCTCAATTGGAGGTGGTTCACCTTTGAGAAAGATAACAGATGAGCAGGTAAGACATGCTATTGTTGATGTTTGAGTTTTCTAATTGGCTTTCATCTGATTTTTATATTGCATTTCAGTATTTTTTTTTTTTATGATTATAGCTGTTTGTTGTAGGCTGCTGCTCTAAAATCAGAACTTGAAGCAAAGAAATTACCTGCTAATGTCTACATTGCAATGCGTTACTGGCATCCTTTCACTGAAGAAGCTGCCCAACAGGTAGTTAACTTATTATAATTTGGAGAATAATTGGTCTACTATCAGGGCATTTCAACACAAAAAAGTAAAATTAAAGATCACCATAAAGTCATCATCAATTGATATTGTTAATAATGATGTTTCTTTTTTTATCCATGACAGATTAAGAGTGATGGGATCACGAGGCTTGTGGTGCTGCCTCTTTACCCTCAGTTTTCTATTTCAACAACCGGATCAAGTATACGTGCACTTCAAAACATCTTTAGGTAATTTGCTTGATTTCATTTTCTATGAGGTTATTGATTTTAAAACTCTGTTAAGGGCATTAATTTGAGTCACATCACAATCACATGCAGGGAAGATAAAGTTTTGTCTAAGCTTCCTGTTGCCATTATCCAGTCTTGGTATCAACGATATGGTTATATAAAGTCTATGGCTGACTTGATTGAAGAGGAATTGCAAAGTTTTAATAAACCTCAAGAGGTAAGCTTCTTTGTTGATTGCTTTTAAATATTAAATACCCTGAAATCTCAAAGTAGAAGTATAATAAAAAGGTTGAACCAGGAAATAGCAAAGTACTCTCATTGATGTGTTTATTATGTCATCAGACTTTCATTTATTCCTATTATAACATTTTACCTTGAAAAAATCTACCAAGTTATAGCAATGTCATCCAAATACAAAGCAATCTTCACTTTTATTATTGGGTAGGTAATGATATTGTAGTTGCAACAGCTTATGTGATTTGTGATGGTAGGTAATGATATTCTTCAGTGCTCATGGGGTGCCACAGACGTACGTTGTTGATGCTGGTGATCCATATAAATTTCAGATGGAGGAATGCATCGACTTGATAATGCAGGAACTTAAAGCAAGAGGAATTGAAAATAATCATAGATTGGCTTATCAGGTCACCAATTCAAATTATTTATATACTTGTTCTTCTGTTCTTTTATATATAACAAGTATTTCAAACCATAATAATATAAATATGTTTTGATTCCCTTTATCAGAGTCGAGTTGGGCCTGTGCAGTGGTTGAAACCATACACTGATGAAGTTCTCGTTCAGCTTGGCCAACAAGGTGTCAAGAGTCTTCTTGCAGTTCCTGTTAGGTATATTTGGTTTAATTTTATCTTCAAGGGTCAAATGTGTAAAATTTAATAACTTAGCCATAAATCAGACTCAAAGTGGTATCAAAATGCTGACACTAACTTCATATGGAGTACAAGGAGTACGGAGGGACTGAAATAAAAATCGGTTTATTAAAGAGTTATATTTTCAAGAAACAACAATGTACTCTAATTGATTTGTTTATTTGTTATAGCATTTTGCTTTGTTTCTAATTAAGGCATTGTACTTTTAAAATGCTTTAATAAGAAACTAAAATGCTATAATACAAATAAATTGAAATCCACTATATTTTTGTATTAAGACAAGTTCCTAAATAAATGAAATGATGTTGATGTTTGGTTTGAGATTTTGAATTGTTAGCTTTGTGAGCGAACACATAGAGACACTGGAAGAAATAGATATGGAGTACAAGGAGTTGGCCCTGAATTCAGGTGTTGAAAACTGGGGTCGGGTCCCGGCTCTTGGGTGCACCACTTCCTTCATTGCTGACCTGGCGGATGCAGTGATTGAGGCGTTACCTTCTGCTACAGCCATGTCAGCATCCTCATCATCATTAATCAGTAGCAGCAGCTCTCAAGAATTTAAGCGTGATCCTGTTGGATACGCGATGAAGATATTTGTTGGTTCCTTTTTGGCGTTTATTCTGCTTTTATCTCCCAGAATGCTGTCCGCATTCAGGAAGCCTGTTGTTTAGAAGAGTTTGGATGAGGAGTAATAATCAGCTACGCAAATAATTATCTTTGAAACTTTGCTTTTGTTGCATTTTACGGATCGGTTTTGGAACATGTGAGATATTTTTGCAAACAGGACATGTAGATATGAAATGGGAAAAAAGGGTTATGTTGTTCCCATGTGCGTATCGGTATCACCCACAATAAATTGATAAAGCTTGTAATTAATTATATATATTTGAACAAAAAGTTTTGTAAATTACGTTATGTCAATTATGATATCTTTCACAAATTATAGTGAAACTAATTAACATGAATGATAAAAAACAATTCAAACTCACACGAATGGGTTACTTTTTTTCGCTCATTCCCGGTCAGATCCCCATATTCCCTTAAACTACCTTCTTCCTTTCTTCGACAGCATAGCCATTGCCACCACTGAAGCCACCAAGTTGGCCACCGATGCATTACCGATTTTGTCCATACATTCAAGAACTGTGTTTAGCCATTCAAATTATTTAGAAGCTTCTCAAAGCATCGGAACCACAACCTTTTTGGCATCCGTATACGACCATTTAATCAGATCTATTCCAAATTCATCATCATATGAATTGAATTTCTGAACCACATCAATGTATTGAGCTTACGGAGGCTGTTGCTTCGTAAATCACTATTAGGACCACAACCCGAATCATTACCAACCAATAAGAAGTATCTAAAGCAATCTTGAATTCGAATTTTAACTTTAATCTTGACAAACAAAACTTTATTAGTTTATGTCCTCGTCGACATTAGTTGCATTGTTTTTTCTCATATTAAACAATTGCTTCGAAAAACAACAAATTCTCATTTTCAACATATATTTTAGATCAAATCTCATGTATTATGCCAAAATCATCATGTTCATCAATTCTTTAGTTTCAAGATCCAAACTTCTATCATCATCATAAATTTTCAACAACAGTAGTTTTTTGGTGTTTGATTGTGTATGCCATGGTAAAAAGTTAGGACAATTGGCGAAGGAATGCCCAAGAGAGGTTTCAAACCAAATTTCCTTTCAAAAATATATTCAAATTTCGGGATTGTCCATGGCAGATGGGAGGGTGAGTGAACGATTTTAGAGGAACAGGAAATGCAGTAGTGGAAACATACATGGGTCAATGGTGGTAGAGGCAGAGCTAAGCTTTGCTTAGTTAGCTGTATGACCCTACTTGAAAGTGGGTCTCACCTATAATATATAAAATATTTTTTTTTTAAGAAATGGCCCCTGAAATTTGTAAGGCAAACTAAAAGGACATGGTATCTTAATTGATGAGGTGGACTGTCATTTAATGACTTGGATTTTAACTTGTGTTGATTAGGCTTCTAACATGTGTTAAGTAGAATGTTAGTGGGTATTTGAGAGTGTTTTTTAAAATATCTTATTTGTTTATTGACTTTTTAGAAAACCAATAAGTTAAAAAAATGTTTGAAAAACAATAACTTTAGTAAAAATGTAGGTTTTCCAAAAAGTCAGGAATTTCTGATTTTTTCAAAAAAAGTCAATAAACACTTTGAGAATCAACCCTTAGTCGGTCAAAAAATCTAAAAATAATGATCTTTTAAAAGTGAAGTTGATGCCTCATTGCCCCTTAGATCAAAATAAATAAATAAAATAAGTGACTTTTTAAAACAAAAACAGTTGGTGAACCCTAAGGTCATCCACATCAGTGCAATGTCACTAATCTTTCAATTGTTACACATCAGTTTTGCAATGACTATTCACATCAGTGCAATAACAATCATATTTCAAAAATGGTCCCCACTGCCACGTCAACTNTTACTTTATATATATATATATATATATATATATATATATATATATATATATATATATATATATATATTAAAAAATTGATTTTTTGTTAAACTTGTGTTCTCGGTTCGACTGTCGGTTCAACTAGTTCGGCCACTGATTCAATCAAGAAAATTCCCTATATCTGATGTGGTGTGTGTCGGCCTTCGAGTTATGTGCACTTTGAAAATGTTCAATTTTCTTTAGAAATGTGTTTTGTTTTTAACGGGCTAAATAAAATCCAACTATACAAGTCTAATAAATCATATAAAACAAGTTTTTAAGAAGCCGTTTAGTTCGATCCAGTCTAAAAAATGACATAAAATTTGTTTTTATTTAACCACATTCGTCTCTGTTTCTCGCTCCAACCGGTTCGACCGGACGATTTGAACCGGTTTTTAAAACATTGATATATATATATATATATATATATATATATATATATATATATATATAGGGAAATGATCAAATGAGAACACCTAAAAGGTTGAGAACGCGAGAACAGTTCTGAGTCACTCAATATATAAGGGTATATAAGTAATTGTATATTTTAATTAAAATAAAATAAAATAAAATTCAATCAAATTCCCTTAAATTTAGGATCAGTTACCAAAAAGAAAGAAATATTTGATTTTTTATTTTTCTTATTAATGGGATATAAAAAAACATTTTTGCCAAAATTTATTTAAAAAATGAAAAAAATCAAATTTTTTCTCCTATTTCACGTTTTTTTTCCTTCAAAAAAAATGAATAGAAATTCAATCCCAAATCAATACATTTATATTCACAAATGATTTTTTTTTTCAAAAAACCTGAAACTACTCCAATCACAAATGAATACATATCAATTTACAAGTAATCCAATTCCTTTTTTTAATCAACTGAAAATAAAAAGAATATCTCTAATCATAAATAAATACACTCATTAACACATGATTACACTGTTATTCACAAATGAATACACTGTTATTAACAAATGAGTACTCTACTATTCACAAATGAATAAATGAATACCTCTAATCATAAATAAATACATTCATCCACACATGCTATTCATAGATGAATACAATGTTATTCATAAATAAATACACATTCTAAATGTATTCATAAAGAGAGATCAGGAGGCTTAAAGATAAGAAAGATGTAGACTGCAGAAGCTAGGGTTCGCAGTTTCGCACCCATTATCTATGTCCAAGAATCCACACCAGCTTCACCGATCGAATCCAATCCTCCAAAGCCCTAATCTAGGACTTGGGGAACGACTACGAGTGAGATAATGGACTTCGATGAGTATGAGTACTTGGAGAAAACAGTTGACGAATCCGACACCAAGAATGGTTCGTCTTCGAACACCAAAGACGGTCTATCTCTCTCGACGCCTCTCTCTCCACAAATGAGTACTCTGCTATTCACAAATGAATAAATGAATACCTCTAATCATAAATAAATACATTCATCCACACGTGCTATTCATAGATGAATACAATGTTATTCATAAATAAATACACATTCTAAATGTATTCATAAAGAGAGATCAGGAGACTTAAAGATAAGAAAGATGTAGTAGACTGCAGAAGCTAGGGTTCGCAATTTCGCACCCATCATCTATGTCCAAGAATCCACACCAGCTTCACCGATCGAATCCAATCCTCCAAAGCCCTAATCTAGGACTTGGGGAACGACTACGAGTGAGATAATGTACTTCGATGATTATGAGTACTTGGAGAAGACAGTTGACGAATCCGACACCAAGAATGGTTCGTCTTCGAACACCAAATACGGTCTATCTCTCTCGACGCCTCTCTCTCTCCATCCCTGCACAACTTCTGTGACATTCCGACCGGGAAGAGCTTTCCTCACGGCTACGGCTACAGCCATGGTCACGTTCTCTGTCTAAGTCCCTCCTGCTCCCGTCGTTCTCTTCGTCCCCTTTGTATTTCTTTCTCTTTCTCCGTTTTTCTTCAATGTGGTCATCTTCAACATCTTCTCCATCATCTTCTCTTCCCTTCCGCTTCTGTTTCATCGGATTCAAGGATGCAAGTCTAGAATCTCCAATGAATACCGATGAAAAAAAATCGAGTTGTAGGAGAACGATTGGAGATCGAGTTGCAGGAGGCCGATTTGGCGTTGAAGCCTTGGAGGGTTTTAGTGATGGAGAGGTCTGATGATGATCGAGTTGAAGGAGGCCGCTTCTGTTTCATCGATTTAATGCTCTACGAGATTAGGTCAAGAAAGAGAGAAGCAGAGAGTAATTATAGGAGTTTACAAAATTAGGGCAATGCTTATTTACCTTAATAGCCTTTATAATTTTTTTAATTTAAAAATTAAAAATTAAATGTATTAATAATTAGAA